TTCGATGACAATAGCTGTAAAGCTAGTGTTATAATCAATTGTATCCCACTTGAAATAATCTGAATTGTATTCAATCAGTAATCAAAATATCTGACAAAAAATAAAAAAGTTTGACGAAAATATCTTGTGAAATCACAGGGTAAGGAAGACAGCATTCACTCTATGCCTCATTCCATGTTACAAGGCAAATGCAGTAGGAACACAAATATTGATTATTGTTGTAAGAAAAAAAAAAAAAAAAACTCAGTGAGCAAGTTAATCATGCTCAGACTGGTGAGCACTGTTTGATTAAACTCTGTGACCTTACAGACAAAATCAGTCCAAAGTGGAAAATAAAATTGTGGGGCTTTGGCAATCCATCTGTGTCCTCCCTGCTGCCTGTTCACCTGTCAAACTACAAAGTGCACCAAACATAACATGAAAGCAAAAGGCTGGCTTATATTGAGGCACCATGATACCTCAGACTACTACATATCATGTCAATCCGTGTGGTCCTTTGATGATGTCAACTGATGCAATTTGGCCCATTTTCGGTCTAAGTTAGTCCTCAATGTGAGGAGATGCCAAGATTGGCTGTTACACCCTGTGGAAGGTCAAATTTTTATAGACTTGGAACGCTCACAAAATATAAAATGGATGAAAACTGAAACCCCAATTACCTATTTGTACTACATTTTTTGTACATGTGAGAAATCTTCTCCCCAGGTAGGTTGACAAAACTTGTACCTGTCAATTGTTCCAACCCACCGAGATTTCATGCATAAAACCACATATCTCAGACCACCCCAAAGAGTATATGCCAAGAATTGGTTATGCAATCTCTCTGACATTTTTTGTAACTTCTACCTGACTAAATATAATAATAATAATAATAATAATAATAATAATAATAATAATAATATAAAATCTGGCTTAGTTTGGAAAAAAAAAAAAAAAAGAGAATTTGCAAATTGCTGACCTGTGTCCTCGCCTGTTGCCAATGTAAAAATCACTCCATGTGAACATTGGAAGTTTTACAATAGCATGGTGGCATTAGATTTGCTCTACTGAGCGTGATGTGTCACTTCTTTTTTGATTTCATATTTCGAATCTTGAATTTATTTTTTCCTAATAATTTAGTTTTTTTTTCTTTATCACGTTTTCAAATCCTAAACAAACAGGAATTCACTGTGGATTACAGTTAATAAGAAAAAAAATGAAAACAGAAAAATGGGAATACATTTCCCCATAAGTCAATGGCATCTCAACTATATTTCAATGACAACAAAGGAACAAACCAATAAAGAAAATAGCTCTTTTTTCCATTTGCTATACATTTACTTAATGTATTTGTCTCAATAATCTTTACTTGATTTTATGACAAATAATATCTGGTTAAACAACTCTGTTGTTTTCTAAGTGAAACAAAATATGATAAAGGAAAAGAAGTATGAAAGTAATGTGAAAAATTCAAAACTGGCGACAGGACATCCTACTTTTTTTAATTTCCACCCTGAAAAAAATATCCTTTTTTTAATCACTATAATAGTCATGTGACTGTGACTTTACAGAAACAAAAACAGAGAGTGAAATGTCACACTGCGACACATTTCTAAAGAACCCAAACAGGATTTCAAAGAAAAACATCTCAAAAATAATTAAAAAGAGGAAGTTAACATCCAATGTACAGTAATGATGAATTTAAACAACTTGTCTGTCTAAATAGGTCAACTTTTATTGGTACAGCCATTCTTTTTGGGACAATGAATAAGACTGGGTTCCCATACCTAGATCTATCTAAGACCCCATTCCCATAGATTTTAGATCGATCTATCCCTGTGGGGAGTCTCACTAGATTACTGTCAGCTAAGCCGGCTTAAGCGTCTGTCCCGCCTACTAAAAGCTACAAGGGGGTAATTAACTATGGTGTGCGCTCGGCTGACTGCAATTTAGCACGAACCCCCAGGGAGTTAGGTCGATCTAAATCTAAATCTCTGGATTGATCTAAATCTCTGGGAATGCACCCTAACATGTACAGGATCCATCTAACTCCCAGGGCTTTCTCGCTAAATTGCTTTTAGCTTAAGCAGCTTAGATGTCTGACACACCTACTGAGAGCTGCTAAATGATAATTAATTACCCCCCCCCCCCAGAAGCCTGACAGACATCTAAGCCCCTTGAGTTGATTGCAATTTAGCAAGAAACCCCTCCAAGATAAATCGATCAACAGTTAGTAAGATAGGGTCTGGGAATGGTCCCTAAGCTTTGTGCATCAGGGACAGCCAAAAGAAGTCTTTATTATGAATACAGGAGCAACATCTGATAATGTCAACAGAACATGCCAAAACAAATGATCAAATTTCACCATAAACACAATTTTAGTGAAGTTCATCTGAATCCAACAAATGAAAGAGGAAGCAAATTTTCCTAGAAGCTGCCCATATATCAATGCAACTAACTTTTATTTTCATTTTTTATTTTTATTATAAGTAAAACCAAAGTCATATCTTATTTTGAGAAAAAAATGACTTCTGACAAATTGAAATCAAAGAGGAAGTAAAATCTAAAGCATGATGAAAAAAAAAAACAAGGCAGCAAAGCTGTCAAATGTACAGACAAAAAACAGGAAATAACTATGCACAAAATAGGCTACTGTCAATTCTGATGCAAAAGTACATTATGTTAAACTGCAAATTCAACATCAAATTTTAATTATGCTCAAGCAGCACCCAAAATTGTGTTTTCTTCTATTCTGATGCAATATTACATAATGGTTAACAGCATAATGACCGTCAATTTTTAATAATAAAATATACATGGATTTTCAGAAAATGTGACTAGCATGGGTCTTCAAGCCCGTGGAACTTCAAAGTTACACCTTGAAAATGCCAATATGTGAAAAATTAAATTTTCACAAAAAAACTGTTTAACTGGCAGTAAGAATTACCAAACAGACTGCATTGCCTACTGAAGCTGTATTTTAGTCCCATGTTTCTTTCCTGTAAGTTTGAGAACAGTAAGTGACATGGTTTTTCTTAAATGGTCATCATGGGGGCAGTGCCCAAAATAGTTTTTTTTTNTCGGCGACGGCATCGGCGACGACAGACGCAGGTGATGGCAATATGTACAGACACATCTGTGTCTGTACATAAAAAAGAACATAAATATATCTTTATGCTAACATGCTTGTACAAAACCTGATAACATGTCAACTATGATAGGACCAAATACATGTACAAGTAATACCTTACACAAATCATCATGACAACAGCATGACCACATTGTTTTTTTTTGGAAAAAACGAACAAACAAACAAACAAAAAAAAAACAATGTGCTTTATCTTTTTTTTTATTGATATCTCAGGATTGAAATCTCCCTCCCCCCTATATTTCCAATAATTTAAATAATCTTAAATAAATTCTAGATAGGTATTGGTGTATCTAAATCTATAGTAATTTGTCACTTTGTAAGTCAATTTGTACCTAAATAAATTCAAAAAAACTTTCAGGATTTATAAAGCTGGTGCAAAATTAAAACCACATTGTGGTAAAAAAACAAGGGAAAGAAAAGGATGTCTTCCTTGTTATTGTCCCAGGACAAACCAAATAAACCAAAAATTCCATCTTGGTATTGGCCAGAGTATACCATGACATACATAGCTTCCTATCCAACATAGTCACTTTATTTTACCAGTCACGACTCTTTTGGTACATATGCACCCAAGTTTTGGCAGCAATAAACAAGTAAACAAGCAAAGTCATGCAAGGCTAGTTTTGAACATCTCTGTCATCCCAAAGTCGTGACATTTTTCACCATGATGCTCTCCCACTGCCCTCACTACCTTCCTGTACCTGCCACTTACACACTGCACAAAATGCTAGGCTTGGCTCAACTCAAGGTTCCGCATTCAGGATCTTGCCATAAAAAATGAGGAAAACCCAAATTTCCCTGCCGTCCTTAACAACTTTTACACACCTGTTCGAGCACCATGCAACCCCCATTGAGTTCCAAACTCAAAAATATGCTTAGAGCATTATTACCTTTTCTTCATTCGACTTAAGGTAGCTACAGTCTAAGAAACAGATGTACGCATGCATTTCTCATTTAAAGCAGGGACAGTAATTTCAGGTGTACAAACGGTGGAATGAGAGAGTCATATCAGTGCCTAACTGTACTTGACCTTGTAGTAGTAGTAGAAGTAGTAGTAGTAGTAGTAGTAATAGTAGAAGTAGTATAGTAGTAGTAGTAGTAATAGTAGTAGTAGTAGTAGAAGTAGTAATAGTAGAAGTAGTAGTAGTAGTAGTAATAGTGGAAGTAGTAGTAGTAGTAGTAGTAATAGTAGAAGTAGTAGTAATAGTAGAAGTAGTAGTAGTAGTAGTAGTAGTAATAGTAGAAGTAGTAGTAGTAGTAGTAATAGTAGAAGTAGTAGTAGTAGTAGTAGTAATAGTAGAAGTAGTAGTAGTAGTCGTCCTAAGAGTAGCAGTGGCAGTAGCAGTAGTAGCAGTAGCAGATGTAGTAAAAGTAGTAGCATAATGGTAGTAGCCAGTAGTAGTAATTTCACTTTTCAACTTCATTGCAAAGCTGGCATTATGCGAGTAGAAAGACAACATGACATACAACCAATAAGTCAGAGAAACAGGAATATTCAAAAGTAACACATGATAATAATTCTGTAGTTTTTACCTCAACACCAGATGGGCAAAAGGAGACAAGTGAGATAATGAAAGTGTATTAAACCAGGCCTGTAGCTGGGGAGGGGGGGGGGGGGGGGGTTTCCGGTTGTTTTGAAAGAACCGCCCCTTTGGTCAGGAAAAGGTCTATTTTGGGTAAATTTTTATCTAGGTTCACATAAGTTTCATAGTAAAAGGTCCACCTTTTTAGAAAAAGAACCCCCCTTTTGAATTTGCTGGCTACAGGCCTGTAAACAGTGGCATAACCCTTTAGATCCAGAGCAGATCAATGGTTTGTCACTTTTACTAGCCCTTATGATATATTCATATATAATTTCCATACATTTTACCTTGCTGTTAAGGAGCAAATTGCTGAATTGTCTGGGAAAATCAGTCTTTTTTTTTTCTATGGGGTCATCTACCTCAGTTGGGCTCCCTCTCCAAAGGTTGACCTGCAATTCAACCATGAAAGAACATCCTAGATCGCATTCACAACGAGTTGAGCCAGGCTTTACAAATCCTGGGGACTAAATATGGCGCCTCCCCATGTGTCTTCCCAATGGAGCCGAGATTTAATGACTGTCCCCCCGCAGGGACGACGTGTGGGGAGGCGTGTGAGAGGCGGAGAGACTATTAAAAGATTAGGCGGTTTTTATTTCATGTACGTCCGCCATATTTAGTCCCCAGGATTTGTAAAGCCTGGCTCAACTCGTTGTGAATGCGATCCTAGAAAATTTTAATAAAGGAACAGATATGTGGCTTGTACATATATTTGGCATGGATAATATTCTAATTGCAGAGTAAATTTCTATTAATATCTTTTGTCACTTTGAAGGTTCAACCAATATTTTATTAAAACTAATACGGGATCGCAATTAGATAAAATTATGCTGAATGTTAGGTATATAAATGTTCATGACAAATTGAAACATATAGTAAACATAATTACTGCCAGATAGTACTATATGTGGGATATTTGTCTCTTTGATATCAAATTATATAATATGCAGAGTTAAGTATTGTTCAACCTTCATCAGGGCTATATACAGAACAGTGAAGCAAACAGAAATATGAAAAACAGAAAATATAGTTAATAATTAATAACATGTAGGAGTGAAGGATTAACTTGATGTCAACAAACCAGCAGAAAGTGTGGGATAAGAAAAACAATTATAAATTCGTGTGCAATTCTTGGGAAGAATGACGTCTCTGAGCAATACTCTTTAAACTGTATGCTTTGAAACCTTAAGTTTATAAGGGAAGGCTAATTGAGGAAACACACTCTGGAGTTTGACACACACCTTACAATTCTAACTGCAATCAAGCTATCTACTTTGTAGAAATCACCCTAAAACGCTACATTTTAAAAATAGTGCTGGATGAATTTATGAAGTTCCGAACTCCAACACAGACAAACAACAGAGCTATTAATAGCAACGCCCATCCACGCAGCTGTCATCGCTCACTTTAACAGTAAATGACTATCATCCATTAATGATGGTAATGCTACATGGGGCAGCCTACATTAAGGGACAAACTAACTTATATGCACTAGAGCACAGGTAGAAAGGTAAAATCTAGTGCCAATAATCAGGAAATGTGAGCAAAACTATTCATTTCATTAGCGCAGTGCTAGTATACATAGATTAAGTGGTGAATTGGTAACATCTATACTCGGTCTATATCGGTCTGATCTTAGAAGCCCAATCCTTCACTCCTATTCCTATGGTATCAAATAAACCCAGTATTTTCACTACTATCAACATACATATATATATACATATAAGGAAAAAATGATACAACGTCTTTGTATGCAATGCCAAATTTAGTGTTATGAAGTACGATATCCCTTGGTCACACCCTAAGTATGAAAGAGAAAAACTCTCACACCAGCTGCTGAATTGCGAGTTTGGTATATTGCGTAAATGGCTACCCATTCCGCTGATACCTTATTTTAACCTCATTGCACATAGCTAATTTTAACTTCAAAATGCATATGCTATACATAGTAAAGGTATGAGAGGGATTTCATGAGAAAAGTTTTGGTTATGATATATAATGTTTCCAAAAAAAAAAAAAGTTTGGTTTTTTTTTTTGTGGAACAGGCCAAGAATTGTATCAGATTCTACTTGCTTATTAATGTTGGAGAATGTAAGTGTTGGCTCATATATCCTACATTTTGGTTAAGAAATAAATTAAAAAATCTTTCCTTAAGGTATTTTAAGCAAGCATATCATCCTCCCCTGTTATCCAAGTCCTTCTGTAAAACATGGACAAAAATATCCATTCAAACCTGTTTTTAAGTCTGCTTGCTATAGAATATGGACAGTACGCAGTTATCAATTTTAATTAATTAGGGAAATGTGATCCTTATGCACCTGGTATACCTTTGACATGAAAAAATGTCAAGACAGATTCACGCACATTGTTACAGTGAATGAATCCGTATACGTGTTCAGATTATGAAACCTGTCAGGCATCAGCAGAAGAAAAACGTCATCATCCTATTGTCATATGCACAAAGTATATATCAGCCACAATAACGTCACTGCATAAACACTTCCTGAAAATAAAGTATTTAGAACCTAATCTCCACCTAATAATTCATCAAGATGTGATTCAATATTAATCACAGTCAAGGAAAAAACGTCATGAAACACAGTGATGCATATGACAATTTAGTCCCTCAGTGACGTCCGTCTCCACATCCTGTTACGTAGCTTGTGCCCCATCTAATAACTACAAGGACGCAAGCACTGGTATAATTCCCGTCATAATAGGATGGTCACGGCTGGGTATTATCTGAACAGATGATCTCAATAGCCGCAAGTCACTCTCCTACAAATATTTTCACATGATGGGAGGCATGAGGGGGGATGTCTGAAGGCCTAAGGGAAAAGGCACATGAGAACATAGAAACAGGAAAAGCTACGGTACACTGAAAGAAGGGGGCGGGTGCTAGCACCAACCTGAAAGACTAGGTGTATAATTACATATATGTATATATCACATAAAGAAAACAAGAAGACAGTCAAAATAGCAATACCAGAGAAGGGCATGTCTACAGTACATGTGAAACAAATGGTATATGTAACAGGGTATTGATGAACACAAATTATGAGATATTTATGAATAATGGCCTGAGACTTCCACAGATCAACATAAGGCATTTTAAGGATGTTTTTACTTAACCCGAGGTACAAAACAAAATTATGGCACATCACACTTTGAAGCCCTCCACTCGTGCAGGTGTGTTAGCACGGCATAACTACTTGGTAACTTTTAATTTATTAACTACCAAATGAAATTAATATCATGACTCGAGCCACTATTTTTGCTATGGGCAGCTTGTCAAGAAACAGACCTACTAAACAAATCTTGAGATGCTTACAGACATATGAAGAGATATGATAAAAGTGTAGATAAACACAGCCAAACGTTCAAATACTTCACACCCAACTAAGCATCACCCACAATACCCCCCAGCCCTCCACGTAGGAGATGAAACAAACAATTTAACTGGCTATCATCCAGAAATATGAATGAAAAATGTTTGCATTATCTTTATTTGTGATTCGAACCATGCAAATGCACCTTCTATGGAGAGACTAACAAAAATTTCAACCAAGATGAATAGATAATAAACCGCAGTGGTCAGCAAAATTTCTCATGACTGCATGGTCAGTTCATGTCCATCCTTGGGCTATGGAAATAATGTAACACTCACCACATCTAAACATAGAGACGGAATCTAATTTAGTATATATATACCAATGCTTTTAGACTAGTGTGTTTGGGTCCTTGTATTTCAATACTTCCATATATCAGTTAGGTTGTTTTAAGTAATACTGTATGCAAAAGCAGGCTAATACTACATATGAATAAATCATAAAGTTGCATGGAGCCACAATTGTAAAATAAAAGAAAATCAGTATCCATGTTGATGGACCAATTTATGAATAATTTCTGGTGTTGAAAGGTTTGAATGCCACTCCCAAAATAACTAAATTTAAAGTTGTTTTGATCCATGGGATGTCAACGATGGCTCCCATTTTTCAAGTCTTTATTGTTTTATTTAATTAAAATTAACAAGAGTCAATAAAAGTCTTGAACGATCTACTGGACGAAGAAGGAATGGAAGTAAGGATGGTGGGACAAACGAACACATAAATGAAAAGAAAACATTGGATAAATATTTCATTAACTGACAATTTATGCTTTCCTCTTCACTTTATCTAACATATTGCACTGCATCATAACATATGATAGCAAGATAGCATGTCAAAACAATTCGAGAAGATCAATAAATGAATTAATATAAAAAAAAAACAAAAACTGACTGACGTGATTGCTTCTTACCAATGACATCAACCATGAGGTTTTTCCAATTTGGCAAAGCGCCAAAGATATGTTACCAAGAAAGAGCTATAATCAAGGAATAATTGCATTCTTCTCCATATTCTGACCTTGGTATGTTTGTTTGGCTGACCTAACATTGACGTACATTGTCATTAACAGTCTGTGCTGCAGATATTAGCTGCTATAATACATACAGAGACTGAGAGTTGGTCCATCCATTGACGTTCTAAGCAACAAGCATTCAAATCAGGTATAATTTAGATTAAAAAATATGTTTAAAGTCATGCTTTTAGTCAATNAAAACATTCAGATTCAGAGAAAAAACGTTTCGTTCGTAATTATTGCGGCGTTCGTATAGATTGGATAATTACCGTACATACAGAGACTGAGAGTTGGTCCATCCATTGACGTTCTAAGCAACAAGCACTCAAATCAGGTATAATTTAGATTAAAAAATATGTTTAAAGTCATGCTTTTAGTCAATCCGTGTGAACCTGCAACTTGTGTAAGCAAGATAGGTAGTTGGGAGCCAATGTTATCCTTCTGTTTTTTTTCTAAAAAAATGAGATCTTCATAATTGTCACATTAATTGCAACTTTGGCCTATGTCTACCACATGTGAAAATTTCATTGAAATCAGGATAAAAAAGCCCCCTATGAAGGTACACAAACATACATCATTTTTGCTTGGTTTATTGCAACAAAATAAGAAAAGTTGCGACATATACTCTATTTACCTGGTATAGCCCAAAAGAAATGGTATTGTAATTAAGAAATGATGCTTCATCCAAAACAGCATTTAATCCATAATGCCAAATTTGTAAGAAAGTTCAAATGCAATGAGACCATCCACTAAACTCAGGTATAGTATATGTGCAACTTTCAGATTATAAGTGTCAAGACAAAAACTGAGTCACAAACAGAAAACAAATGTCCTGCCCATTTCACAGAATGAGCTCAGAGATGGAGAAACCTGCCTTTAGAAAAGAAGAAAAAACTAAAGAGCACTTTGAGGAGGCAGAGCAAAATGTAAATTAATAACAATAAAATAAGGAAATATTGTTTAAAAATATTTAAAGACTCTTATGTAGTTCAAACTACAGTATAACCACATCTTACCATCTTGAATAACTGTGTACCCTGAAAATTTCAACAAAATTTAAGAACTTTTTGAGGCATTTCGTGATGTGCATTTGCTCCACTATTATAAAAGTAAATGGTTTTGGAGAAAAGAATCTTAATCACCATGCAGCGTTCTCTCTATTACGTCAAAGGACAGACTACTGTCCATTGTGTGCAATTATAGACCAAAGAAACAAACAAATTCAATGGACTCGTGACAAGAGAAATTATCTTGCATATCATTTATTCTGAAAATCAGACAGTGGCATGGTGAACTTCTTCTTGTGACATATGCTTGCTCAGTTCACACAGCCATGGTTACATCATTTCTTACTGCATGTCACGTTGATTGTTGCCTCAAACATAATTCTCTTTCTTACAATATCCAACCACATAGGCTAAAAATGGACGGATAAATTGTTTAGGATTATAAACACATGGCACAGGTTTAAGTTACGACACGAAAAACATGCGTACATGCAAACTCCTATGCATGCATGCACATTGACAACAACGCGCCCATGGTACCATGCACATTTCAATAATTGGGTACTTTTGTTCTAAACGTTTGTCTTTGTATCTTAAAGTATATATATATAGACTCTAATAAAGGCAACACTATCAATCTAGACTGTACTAAACATGGCTCTTTTACAAGACTTACTTCTTCATGTGGTAGTCATAATTGGAATAATAACTGTTACATAAATGTCTCCAGGGAACTTCAGAAATGAATCCCAGGAACATCTCAACAAACCAATACAAAATGGTGGGTAAAATAATTCATAATTTGATAAATGCATGTATGGTTGTGAGACCAAGAATGGCATAATGCAATCAATTTTTTTTATTATTATTCACAGACCGAAAGAAACAAATTAAGCTCAGACTTCACTGAAACTGGTAAATAATTGGTACATTACCAACAGAGGTGGTGCAGATCTGGTACAAAACTGGTACTGAACTGGTATTGGTGTACAGCTGACACATGGCTAATAAATGTAGACTTGGTACAGAGTTAGTAAAAAATCCATGAAGAACAGGTACTAGTACAGAAATAGTGCAAAACTAGCACATAACTGAAACAACTGGTACAGAACTCAGGCCAGTAGCCAGCAATTTCAAAAGGGGGGTTCTTTTTCTGAAAAAGTGGACCTTTTCCCACAAAAACTTCATGTACCTAGATCAAATTTTACCCAGAGTGGACCTTTTCCAGCAAAAGGGGCGGTTCTTTCGAACCCCCCGAACCCCCCCTGGCTACGGGCCTGGAACTAGTATAAAATTGGTTTAGATCTGGTACAAAACTGGTACAAGGCTGTTTACAACTGGTACAAGACTGGTAGAGCTTAAGATGAGCCACCATTGTTTTGCTTATTAATGTAACTATTAATTTCAACAAGTTGGTGCTGGCTGTGAATAATTGCAATGCACTTGAAATATTGTTCATCATTTGATATTCCATGAGGCTTTAAGATAGACTTCAGGGGCAATAGCAATGTTATTCTTAAAAACCTCTATGGCACTAATGAGTCAATCCATAAACTCCAAAAAAATCTGTCAGTTAATATACCTAGTAAAAATATAACAGATATTTGAACATGTTCAAGTAATTACTGGAAGTTTACTTAAAATAGCATGTAAATGACTAATAAGGGCACTCAGACCCCAATGTACTTTCTATATGTCCCTGGATCATAATGGTTTCGATTATAGAGTTATTATGTATTATCTTTTTTAGGGAAAATTGTTTGCAATTACTGGTAGTTGGTAAGACAAAAAACATATCCCCTATAGAAACATTAAACTGTCGCAAAAATAAGTGTAGAACATGTATTTCTCAAAAGTGTACAACATGCCCTATGATATTTATCTTTAGTAAAATCCAAAGCTCTAATACACATGTGCAATGGCATGTAAAATGCATACATTCACTTGCACAGGGAGATGTAACTGCTTTAATTTCTTTTTGCAAATTGCACTGGTTACATTGCCATCTACGTGGTAGGCAAAACAACTTTTTTCCCCAAATACCACAAACCAGGATTCTATACTCTAAGTGTGCAATCAACCAACCTGCTGAATCAGTTTGAAAACTCGATTCAACTGCGCAAAAAATTAGCACTCGTAGGGCCACCCAGCTCTTCTGGAAGCAATTCCAACAAAAACACAAAAAACATGTAAAAAAAGTTTTCAAAAATTAAGCACCTTTGGCCTAGTCTGTGAGAAACAATAGATGGGCAATGAACTCTTTATTAAAGAGGGATCAAAAGGCCAGACACCTAATTGGAAACAATATCAGATCCAGATTTTGAAAACTTGAGGCAATGAAGCGATGCCTTCCTCAAAACATACA